AGGGGGTGCAGGAGAGGTCGCTGCTGGACTGGAGGGTTCTGGCCGCCGGACTGCCGTCCTCGAAGCCACTGGAGCTGCGCTCTGAGCCGCACTGGCCCCCCTGCCCCCCGGACACGACGCTGAGAGCGCGCCCGTCCGGACCGCCACGCTGCACAAACACAGAGGACAGAGGAAGGGTCACCATCAGGGCAGGGACGGGCTGGGGGGCCGTCGGGCCCACTGTGATGTCCCTGTTGCAGGGCAGCCCACAGGGAGGGGTGCAGCGTGGCACAGGGGCCAGGACTCTGCCCTTCCGACTGCAGGGCTGTGGGAAACACTGCTGTCGCCCCTGACCTGGTGCTTTACCCACACTGCTCCAGCCTGCCAAGATGGGTAAATGAGGCTCACAGCTAACAGGCAGATAGGTCACTGTAACCTTTGTAAGATGCTTTGGATGAGAGTGTCAGTCAAGTGCAATGACAATGAATAGTTATGGATATTAGCCACATAGGTGGGCAGTGGAACTCTGAGCTTTGTGGCCTTAGAATATTCTTAATTTCCCTTTGCGTCCTCAGTTCAAGTAGAGAAACTGGTCATATATCTTATTCTACTCCTTCTAGTGTTAAATGATACAATTCTTCATTTTTAGTTAAACAAAGCACTAAATTAATAACATTATTTTAAGGCACACTTTTCCACCACTGGGACTGATGCTGAGAATAGTATTGTTACAGATGTTTATGACACCAGAGTGAAGTTTGGTGGGTTCCCATCTCTATGTCTGTCTGGATCCCTGGATGTTTCAGTTTGCTTCTTCATATCAATTAAATGTTATCCTGTTATGAGGTTCACACCAGAAATATAGAATCAAGCACTTGAAAGCCATTTACCTTATACTTCATACTGAGTGCTTTTTTGCCTCATACTTCATACTGTGTTATTTACCTTATACTCCATACTGTCTTCTGGAACTGTAAGATGCAGTCACTACCTGAGGTGCAGGAGAAATCACTGCTGGATCTGAGGTTTGTGGCCACGAGTTTGCCTCATACTTCATACTGTGTGCTATTTACCTCATACTTCTTCCTCCAGACCTCTTGAGCCCAATGCTGGAGGCTGTGCCAGGATTGGTAAGACTCAAAGAGACTGTCCTCTGCCAGCAGGCCATCCAGGTGAGCTGAAATGGACATGCAGGCTGTTTCAGCAGGTGACCGTGGGGCTGTGTGTGGATTTCTCTTTGAGTCTTGTTAAGGCACTGACAAACTCAGTCCTGACAGAAAAACCCCAGTGACGACAGATAGCCGGAGTCTGTACCTTCCACGGAGAAGATATCTGGTGCTCGTCCAGCGCTGTGGTCTCCAGTATTGGTATGTTTATGAGCAGTCACCTGGCATTCGAAGCAGGGAATAATCAACACAGAACGGCAACACAACCCCAAATGACAACCCCAGTTTCTGCTGCAGACTCCTCCCCATCCCTCACACCATCCTCAAGAAACAGGACACCCCCAGTCTCCCCTGCCCGACTGCACTTGACCCCAGGAGAACGCAGAACCCAGGGATGGGCTCAGTGCTGTTTGGAGAGCATTTCTGATCTTGGACAGTCTATTCCCTCCCAGACCCACCTGGACCCAGCAAATGAACAGCAAGACCAGTAATTCAGGGATTCAGAAGCAAAGGAAAATGGGACTAAAGACCCAGTTACAGTACGTCCATCAGGATCTGCCTCAACTCTAACTGGGGATACCCAAAAAGAAAAGCCCACCGAAGCTTGTGGATTTTCAAAACAGAATTTCCCCTTTTGGAAACGCTGGGAAACCTACATATACTGATCACTCCCAGCTCACAGTGGCACAGTTCCTTGTAGAAAGGCCTTGTCTGCCAGTCCCCATGACCAGACTTGCCTCACTGAACCGGAAGAGCAGGGACACCAGGACCACCAGTGGAAACACAGTCAGGGTGCTGCAGACTCCCATCACCAGGGAATCACAGGAGACATCAATGAGGCCCAGCGCAGCGGAGAACTGCAAAGACAGACCAGCAAATAAACCCATCAGGCACAAAGACAAGCAAACACTGTTTAAAATTCGCACACAAACCAGTTCCACCAGGCACCACAGGAGGAGGGTTGGTAAACAGTAGGTATGACAGAGGAAATAAAATGCCCTGATGAATAATAAAACTGATAACTGATAAGACCCGCTCAAGGCTGAGCAGACATCTGGCAAATGAAATGAAGGCAGACAGAGGTACAGAGGACTGTACCACACGCAGGGGAGTAAAAAGGGCCTCATGAGACACCAGAGGGAGCAGCTGATGAAAGGGGCAGAGCAGTCGATGTGTTGAGTCATCGCTGTCTTCCTGCCAGCGCAGAGAAACAATTAAAAACGTCAAATTTTAAAATGAAAGAAAATAAATAACATGTGGTTGAGATCTTCATATTAACAAGACACAAGCAGCCCGTGAAGCATGATGGTCAAATGGTCACCCTCTAGCTTATAACTAAAGCTTACAGTATTTAAGATCTTGCATTCTTTTTTACAGTGTGCTCATTATATTAACATTTTATTTCCCACATTTGCCATAAACCTGAATCGAAGCAAAGGGTTTTTCCGTGGTCTTCAGGGCGATACTGCACCAAAACAGCCTCTCATTTAAAATCGTCTGACTTCCACAATATTACAGTTTGTCAATATCGTTTGTGGGTCCTCTCACTGGTTTGATATGCATCAGTCTCACTCCCTAAGACTAGTTTTAGGGGCACTCCTTTCATGGAGTTCGGACTGCCAAGGTGAGACAGCAGTATTCCAGAAGGAGGTCCCCAGTATTCCAGGAGGAGGACCCCACTATTCCAGAAGGAGTTCCCAGTTTTCCAGAAGGAGTTCCCAGTATTCCAGAAAGTGGGCCTTTAAAACGGACTTTCCTACCTTCAATATCTCTTAACTACAATGCTGAGACGCGCCCGGAGGCAGGGGCGGCGGGGGCTGACCTGGTCGTCCCGGAGGTGCACCAGCAGGGCGTTGAGACCGGTGTAGCCCAGCAGCAGCAGCAGGCAGAGGGCGAGGCGCTGGGAGTGTGAGACGGGGCTGTGGGAAGGCCGCGTGCACACCGAGGCCCAGAGGTGGAAGTCCTCCAGGAGCTCCGTCAGCGTGGCGGACAGCAGCTGGGGGCACAGCGGCGAAGACAGGCAGCTCAGCACCTTTCCCCAGCCCCCGTCTGCGACCCAAGCTCCTCCAGAGCTGCCGCCCGCAAAATGGCTCAGGAACCAACTGACCGACACACCGGAAAGCTCATTCGCACAGTACTGACTAAACTCATGAAGTTCCACGAATCGACGAGGTAATCGTCTTTCAAAAGCACACGAGAGGGTCAGTCTTTCACTTGCCAACAGGCTTTCTTGCATTAACCAATCGTACAGATTTCCTGTCGTGAAGATTGATAGACGGTTTCGTTCAAATCGGGGAATCTTTGTCTGCAGATAAACAAACAACTTGATAAGGCTGCATGCAACAAGGCTGCCTGTGTGCACCTTACCAGACCGAATGGAAGCTGTTGCTTGTCTTTTGATGACCCACAGGTCTCAGATGGTACAGTATTTGGAACTGAGCGCACATCTGACATGCTGTACGAAAAAGCTCAGCATGCAGGTACGCTCTAAAAATCGTGAAGACAGAACTTCCTTGCCTTTTACTTACTTATTATTTTTTTCTCAGGCCCAACAAAAAATAGTTTTGCACGGCTCACCTTACTGTGCAGCTAATTTTTCAATCCACTTTGCGAAATGAACCTCTATGGGTGACGTGAGCAAACAAATGAAAGCCCTCACGATGGGCCCGGCTGCCCAGAAGGTCGGATCCGCGTCCCGCGGGAGCGCGCCTGGGTCTGCACGGCGGGCAGCTCGCCTACCTTCCCGAAGCCGGGGCTCTGGGTCAGAGGGGTCAGCTCGCGCTCCACCTTCCCGTCGCCCTCGTCCGCCGCCAGCCAGCACTCCGCGGGGAAGAGCCAGCCGGTGCCGGACGCCACGTCCCGCACCGCCAGGTGGCTGACGAACCAGCTGGGAGAGGGGCCGCGGCCGTCATGCCAGATGTGCACTTTCCAGATGGGGCCCAGGGAGTCTGGAGCGCTGAGACACAGAGTCCAGCTTCAGCCTTCGGCTCGGCCACACAGCACCTCTTAAAGCTGCTCACGTCACCGTACTCCAAGGCCTGACGTGCTCTTTTCAAGGCGTGTTAGTCTTTTAGTTCACCCTATTAAACTTATTCCACCAGTACCTGATCCTGGCCCAAGAAGGCTGCTGCGCCTCTTTCAAGCTCTAGCACTCGAAGAGCAGGGAGAAGTCTGTCCAATGAAGCCAATAAAGAGCCAATTTAGGTCATTTGCAGCTTGTTGTAAAGAAAACCTTCAGACACTGTGCGCCCCATTGGACACACCTCATGTAACATGTAGGGGGTATATATCACACGAGTGTTACTCACTGTCACTGCCAGATCCATAGAACATTATAGCCAAGACAGGTAAAAGACTTGGGTAATACATCGGCTGTCTGTTCTAACCAGCTGTCCTGATAATATCAATTAAAGGGCAATGGCTTAAAGGGCTTCTCTCCTCTTGTTTCTGAAATTGTGGTCTTGCGAGTACTCAAATCCCAGTTCATTCCTCCAGGACTTCAAAGCTGGAACCCTCTGTCAACTTTAAAGTTTCTGATACAATGGACAAACTTTGACACCAGACGAGCAGAGGCGCAGGAAGATGAGAGGTACCTCAAGATGAAGGTGTGTCTTGAATTTCTCCCGAAGAGCAGTTTGCCGGAGCAGCTCAGCTCTCTGGTCTCCGAAGTCCCATCCTCGCCGTGTAAAACGATGTGAACCTGCCCCAGAAACAAAGCCCACTGCAATCCCCCCGCCATCGCAAGCCAGGCCCGCGAAAGACATCAGCCCTGCGTCATCGCGGAGCACAACAGGTGAAAGTTCACATCCTAGCAGCAAAGGCTGCAGCTCTGGATTTCCTGAGCGGTCTAGTCTGGCCCTGAAGGAACCAATGCCTCTTATGAGTTAGAAGTTAAGACCTCAAGAACTTTGTTGCTGTTTTTTGTGCTTTCCCAGCCTCCCCAGGGTCTCTCGAGTGGAGGTGCAACTCATGTATCCTACGTGTGATTAGCAACATGAAAGCGAACAGGGGTCTCAACCGATTAGGGTCTTGATTAATTGCCCACGGCTGACCTAACTGCCCTTGCCCTTCTGACCTTGTTTACACCTTATAAGGTAACACACTGTTGCTGACCCATCATACGTGTATGTTTTTGTAGGAAAGTTTTGCTCATCTTCAAGAAGAGCGAGTGAGAGACGAGGTTAACCTCCTTCCTTTATTGCGGTGCAGAAATCAGCACCTGAACCATGCGTGGTTTCCTCCGAGGAGTCGAGCAGTACCTTGGCGGTCATTGTGGCTCTGGATCTAAAGCCTGTGTCGACGGTGATGGTGTAGAACTGCCGGTCCAGTGGGCTGTTGTCCTGCAGGAAGACCAGTCCGCTCCTCCTCTCACATTCCAGATCAGCTCGCTTGCAGACAACAGCCAGGACAAGGTAGATCCCCAGAAAGACAAACGTCACGCTGCACAGAACCAGGTTATCGACTAGGCTGCAAGACAAACATGGGCTTCCAATGTGCAGCGTCTCCTGACTTCTACACTGGCTGCATTTCCACAGAGGGAAAAGAACACAGCGCCGCTGAAAAATATACCGAATGTTTTACAGGTTTTTATTTGATCCAAAGAGCAGGATCTTCAGATGTTTATTTTTTACATGGGTGCTTGCTCTCCTCTTTTAACAAAAGTATCAGAATAGAAGCAGAATTGAACCTGCCCTGGATGAATACAGCCCTGTATGCATCACCAGTGAGACTGTCGATGCCGTTAAAGGTGCTTGTGTACTGTGGTGCAAAGGAGTCTCTAGTGCGTTGTAAACCTGGAGTGAAATATGCGCCATATGGCATTAATCCCTGGTACATTCACGTCAGTATGTAGAATTCAGTAAAAAATACTGAGAACTGTTCATTAACTGTTCATTATCTCAACACTCAGTCAATCCATCCATACTTACCTAACAAACTGGGACACATCTGTGAAGTAATAATGGCTGCTGACTTCCTGGTATGCGATGGTAAACGTTGTCAGATGGTTACAACTAAAATAAAGAATTACATTTAAATCAGATACATTTTACCCCACAAACCCTACCAGAAAGAATTCATGAATATCTACTGTACCAGAGGGTGATTCATCTTATGTGCAACTTGTTTGTTTTTATTTTTATAAATCATGACAAGACCTAAGACCTTCATACCTGACTGCAAGAAGCAAGAGCAGTGTCAATGCAGCACCCAGAAGCAAATACTCTACAGGTAATCTGTGTTGCCATAAACATTTTTTTCTAGCCTGTTTTCCTAGAGATTAATAGTTATTTGTACACAGCCAACCAAAGATTTGGTTTTATTTTTCTTTCCTGAAGTACTAAAGAGTGAAGTGCCTCATACTATTCAATAAAAGTAACTATTGTTATTTAGCTGCATGAGGTCTTACCAGAAAACTAACACCTGGACAGGCACCAGGCCAGATAGAATGTACTGTTGAAGCTAATCCAAACAGTTAACAGAACAGAAAAGGTGATCCGTGAAATCAGAAATGTGAACTCAGAAAAAAAAGTTGAGTTTCACTGTTTACACAGAGTGTGAGCTTTAACTTTTATAGACCCAGAAGAAAGGTTACAAACGAGAGCAGGCCACACGGCCAGGCTAGCCCATCTGGTAGTGAGCAGTTAACGGACGAGAGGATCACAGCCAGCTGCTTCTTGAAAGCAGCCAGGATATCGGCTTCAACACGGCCTCACCTGCAGTTCACTTTACTGGCTGACCAGCTCTGCAGGGGAGAGCAGCCCTCTGACCTCCAGTCTTTACCGCCGTCCCAGTACAGACACTGCGTCCACTCAATGCTCAAGGTGTAGCTCACAGCACTGGCGATGTATTTGTTGGTGGGTGTCCTGTTGTAATCAGCGTTGAGCAGAGCCACATAGTAACTGCCAGGATCTGTCAGAAAATGGAAGAAGCCCAGTCCGCAGAAGACATGAATTTAGATGCTGCCATGTCATTCTTATACATTAAGCTAAGAAGATCAGGGAAGAAAAGACCAACCTTTCACAGACAAAGGAGGCATGAAAATATGAACTGTATTTCCCTCCCAGCTGTGAACCCTCTTCACATTGTAAGAGCTGGGAGTTGGTTTCTCAAACATTCTGCATGGGAAACAGAAACAAAGAAAATGTCACTTCACACACACTGGAGTCGAGCACATCACAGACTCGAGGCTTTGCTTTGAGATCAAACGCATTTTAAAGCAAACTATACAGCGGATAGATGTGGAAATGAATATGCTGTACAATGCAGGTTTTAAAAATGTATGGCCCGTTAGATGGACAATATGTTGCCAATTGTATGTTAATTAAAAAAATCAAAAGACAATAAAACACACGTGTTCAAAGACACAGGGGCAATATTTTTAATACTGCGTACAGTATACTGGATTCTCACAGTGACATTTCCTTATTGAATTCTGTTACTTTAGAACCTGCTCAGTAACGTGGATTTTGAAGAGCGGTGAAGCCAGCGGAAAAGTACTCAAACTACGCGTGCCACGCAAGCTAAAAAACAACACGACTACACAACGTCATCAGGAGGTGGCGTGAGAAGAGCCCGTCTGGGAGACAGTATGAGCCTGCCCTGACCGGCCCGGGTTTGAGGCAGAGGTGTGTCCCGGGAGCGTCCTAGCGCACCTGAACAAAAGCATGATGGGAAACGGTGGGCTGGAAGGCCGAGTGAGCTGCACTGTGATCTGCAGCGCCTCCTGCTGGTGTCCTGCTGTCACATTGAACTCGTGGACGTTCATCTGACTGCGCAGCAGAGAATATTCTGGAGAGCTGCTTCCCTGTCGCAACAAGGACAGAGATTGACCTGGTGCATTCATTTCCCATGCAGTGGTGAATATTCCTGCTCTTGAAAGTGCCGACGATCGGATTTTCAGACTTTTTAACTCACGTTATTCCTCCTCTTCTCAAATTCAATATGGACCGGCGTGGACAGCGAGCGCACTTTTCTCTCTTTCCTGGTGGTGCAGTTATACAGACGTAGGTCAGCGACATCACCGTCGATCTGTAACAAGAGGACAAAACTGTGTGCCACGATTTCATGGGGAACAGACATAAAAAACCTTTGTACAAACGACTGCAATACAAAGACGTTTAAGACCGTTTCTAATAGAAGAACACAAGAACAGTTACAAAGTGGAAGAGGCTATTCCGCCTCTGTCTGTTCAGTAGCTAGGAGCTCACTGATCCCTCCTGAAAGGAGTCAGGTTATCGCCTTCAGTAACAAGGCTACGGTATGTTGTCCATTCATGACTTCCACACCCCTCTGTGTGAAGAAGTGCTCCTCAGTCTAGTTTCCATTTTTGACCCCTGGTTTGTGTTTCACTGGTGAGTCAACCTATTTGAGTTGCCTGTTTTTTTCTTTCAAGATAAAGATCTTCTATGAGGCTCCCAGTAAATCTGCAGGTTCTACCATCCATTTGTTTGAACTCAGGAACTCGCCTGCGTGACCTAGTACCCCAGCACAGAGCTGTTAATTACAGATCAGCGGGGCAGCTGCTCCGAAGCAGGGAAAGCAGACGGCTCCGTTCTGTTTCCGAGCTGTGATTGTGCCAGCGGAGTGGCCAGCAGGGGGCCCCGGTGGGCCACGGAACTCTGCGCAGCCGGAGAGCTGACCTGAGCCGGCGACCTGCTCCAGAGACGCAGGCCTCGCCGGAGGAGCACCAGCTGGGCGACCAGGCAGGGGCCGCCGCCGTGCCCGGACAGGGCGCCAGGGAGGCGGAAGCTGGCCGGGCCGGCGCCCAGGACTGTGCCCCCGGAGAGGGCCAGCCGGCGCGTCTTCACCTCCACCAGGCGGGTGCTCACGCTGTGCTCCGTGGCGTCGCTGGAAAGAACGAACCTCTGGAATAAAGGACAACAGGGCCCGACTTGAGAGGAGCTGCCGAGGGCAAATCGCTGACCGCTCCCGCCGCCCGCAGAAATCACTCCCCAACTGGACCAGCTCTCTCTGTGTTCTTCGAGGCCTCAGGAGGATAATAAATGGAATGGAACGTACTGAACAGCAAAGGTACCGAACCAGGACGTTCGGTGAAATCATGGCACGTTCCTGTTTGCAGATCCACTCTGTTGCTCTGTGTGCAAGCATGTAAACAACTGTCCGCCGCTACTGCACAATCACCCCGATGAAAAAATGTGCCGTCGCATACGTACGTATGTGCTTGATTTCCCAAAAGAAAACATTCTGCTCAGGGAGAACAGCTACCCACTTAGCCACACGACAAAGACATTTGCATGTTGTGAACAGAAAAGGAGTATTATTATTATTCATACTTATATAATTTTTTTAATCAACATAAGGTGAAAACAGTTCAAAATAAACTTTTACATGGTTTATCCCATCTTGAAAGTTACCTGGAGTTTAGATGCGCTTTTATTTGGAGACAGTTTTTAGAAAAGGCAGCAGCTATTCTGCACACAGTGGAGCCTGGGCTGGGTCCGATTCTGACCCGGGATGCTGCTGTGTTGACTGACGAGCTACACTCTATGCTTCCAGGACAGGCTCCAGGCTGCCCCCCCCGCCTCGCCAGGAAGAAGCAGCTCCCTGATCACGGACGGAGGGATGACTGCAACATTCCTGGTATTTATTTTGTCAGCTTCAGAACTAAAATGCCTTTGAATGTACCATTTCATTCCTCTGCATTCTACACTGCAAAATACAGAAACTCCCAGAACTAACAAGGCAGAATACAGCGATGTGAAAAAAAGTACACCCCCTTACTATTCTAGGATTTTACACACTGAGACACATCTGACGTCCATCAACTAATCACAAGCACTTATTTAGCCACACCTGACTACTGAATAATGGCTGATATTTTGTTTACTATATAATGACAAAGTAACATTTGTGTGTGCTATGTGTCACGAGAGGTTAGAGTTATCTACTGTCAGGACGTGGTGAGGACCAGGTGAGGGTCAGAAACAGTTTGTCTAATACGTAAAACCCTGGAACTGTAAGAGGGTGTAGTTTCTTTTTCACACCATGTTACGACATGTGAACTGTTACACACAAGAAGAGGCCATTTGACCCATCTGGCCAGTTGGGAAGAAAGGATTTAATTGACCCAGGGATCTCACCCAGCTGTGTTGTGAAGGAAACCAGGGTATCGGCTTCAAAAACACGTTCGGGTAGCTTGTTCCACACTCCTACCACCCTTTGGATAAAGAAGTGCCTCCTGTCTTTGGTTAGAGTAGCCATGATTGTAAGTCAGGTCAGAGTTGTTTCCTAATAATGAATGTGTTTTCTGAGCCTCTATAACTAAAGGAAGGAGAGGGAATTGGTTTCTCTCTACAGTAATCCCAGCAGCTGTCAGACAGTCAGGAGGCAGGCGATAGTTTAACTGCACAGAAATTGCCCAGAAGAGGTGCTTGAGATAACCCCAAGAACGCATCAATAAACAGTCAAAAATAGATTTGTGCTCCATGAAGAACAAAGCATTGGTGAAGCTCCTTTTCTGGGTAGGTGCGTTTAAACAAGACAGTTGGCTAAATGAGCAAAAAGCAGCAAAATACTTCGCTTGCCAACAAGAACGTGTTCTTATCTCACTCCCCAGGAGCATGTAACAGAGTCTTCCTTTCTGATTACCTCCTTGGCCAGGTGCCTGTGCACTGATGTCAGAGAAAGGTAACAGAGGCTGTGACCACAATATTGTTTTTAGCAACATGGTTTACAGTTTATGGGAGACTGCCAGTTTTTTTTTAATCCAAAAACAACATTAAAAAATCAATGATGCAAACCTAACTTTAACAAACTTTAACAGTTCTGGGAAAACAGAAATAGATTTATACATAATATATAGAAACGATACTCTATTTTAATATGTGCTGTACATAGACGCATTCCGTTTATTTCAACATGGCCTTGGAAAATTAGCCGGAGTTAAAAGAAAAATGTGAACTGGAGCAGAAAACCTTAGAAAGGTGGCTTGTGAACACGTTGAACAAGTTGAGCTGACTTGAGGATTAAGAACTTGGTGGCTCTGACAACTTCAAAAGTGATTAAACACTAAGAAAAAAAAGTATTCATTTATGTTAAGAGCTTCAGCTAAGGTTGACCAGCCTGGACAGTGGGTCGTAACTAATGGATGGAGGGGAGTATTAAACAGTGCATCCCACACAATTAGACCCCGACAATATAATTAAAATCTTCCATACTGGGTCTTGAACAGGCAGGGACACATCACTGCCCTCCACCTGGGAATTAGTTATTTGTCAGAATACGCCTGCCAACGAATTAACCATCACCGTCCTTCGGATGAGACGTAAAACCGAGGTCCTGACTCTCTGTGGTCATTAAAAACCCCAGGGTGTAACCCCGGCGTCCTGGCCAAATTTCCCCCCTGGTCTTTACCAATCATGGCCTCCTAATAATCCCCCTCTATGAACTGGCTTCATCACTCTGCTCTCCTCCCCACTGAGAGCTGGTGTGTGGGGAGAGGACTGGCACTGCACACTGGTGCTGGTGGGGAGGACCCTCATTAACTGTGAAGCGCTTTGAGTGGAGTGTCCAGAAAAGCGCCGTATAAGTGTAAGCGACTATTACGATGAATTATCACATGGAACCTGAAGTCGAGAGGCCGGCCGAGCCGAGCTCCCGCTCGGGCAGACAAGCGAGGAGCGGCCTCACCAGCAGCAGGTCCGAGGCGGTCCTGAGGCTGTCCGTGGTCAGCCGGACCGCTTCCTCTCCGGGGTCGAGCGGCGCCTCCAGGACCCCGGCCAGCAGAGACACCAGCGCGTTCGCCGTCCACTCGTCCAGGGAGAGGGAGGTGTGGGCGCCGGGCTCGTGGAGCCGGGCGGCCATGGCTCGGATATGACTGGTGACACGTCGGGCGCTGTCCAGCGCGAGCTTGCAGGTGGATAAAGACAACAGCAAGTGAGCTTCGCTATCCACATGAATGAAACTCACTGGGTCACTGAAACTGGACAGCAAAAGGTATGTTTCAAGGAGCATTTGTAACACGCTAACCAACTTGTATTTGCCCTTTGCTTTTTAAAAAAAAATGTCTGAGTTTTGCACTCTGTTATTCACGCTTGTCAATGTTTTCAGTAAAACCTGCTGAGCTCAAGTTCACAGGCTAGGAAGTCCCTTCTCTCCAGTCGTGTAATTGTTTGCACTCAGGGTCACGTTTCTCTGCTCAGCAACGATGGAAAAAAACCCCGAAAACAAAGAGATGCAGCAGAGTCCTGAACAGGAATGACGCACATATTCTCTTTGGAAAGCAAGAATCAGCACCGAAATAATCTACTGCAATGCAGGTCTGTCTCCTCACATCAGTTTAGAAGTCATGTGGCCAGCAAACCTACTGGGTGTCAGAAGGAAAACGGACTGAGGTGGCGAGACGCTGTCACAGTGTACAGAGCCCTGCCATCTTGGTCTTCGGTTCAATTTCTCACGAATCGGTCTTTACCACCATTCCACCATACTAGGGGGCTTTTCACAGGCATAACAAAGGCTATAGAAATACTTCAAATGATAATCTGCTCGCTGATGTTTGCATAAACAAATAACATTCAATAAACATTTTTCAAAAAGTCAAATATAACCTTTTACCAAACACTCTTTCCTGCACTGAATGTCTACACCTGGATGTATTTGACTTGCCCACGGGAAATTAGCTTTTCGGTCTTTTCACTCAGTAAGACCAACAGCAGGTTTTATGGCTGATATGTCAAACAGAGGAGCACTGATACAATCTGAAGAGGCACTTCGCCATGACAGGGAAGGTACTTACTTGGTCAGTAACGTGAATGAGATCTTTAAGCATGGAGAGGTTATCAATCATTGATTCCTGCAAAAAGAGTAAAGGGTACTCACTGTTCTAATCTAATAAGCTGCTTCTCGTGAAGGTCAGCAAGACAAGAAACCTGAGCACTGATCTGGCTCGGCTTTAACCCACATATCTGATCCGTTCATGATGTCTCTTCACTCTGGAGGAAAGAGCTCAGCTCAAATGATATCTGCATGGCTTATGCTTGGACAACACGGTAAGCAGACTCATCTGATCAGTAACACTGCTTGTTAACAATAAGAAAAAGCAAAACTGACGCTTTACACAAAATCCATTATTCTGAGGTATTTTCCTACACTTTTCCCCTCTCACGCTGCTTTATCTCTACTATACACACAATACTTTTTTACACTAAAACGCACATCTTTCTTTCTTATTAATCAGCCGATCAGAAAGTTTTCAGCTCTCTGAAAAAAGGAAATCTCAGGAATGCTGAGATCCCCTTGGGATTAATGAAACTTCTCTGCACAACGCCAGAGCTTCAGACGGGTTTCAGACCACTGCAGCCCTCCGCCTGGGACACACCTCACTGCAGAGCTCTTTTGGACTCTTGCTGAAAACGCCATTAGCCCCCTGCGGCGTGCTGGCCTCAAGGAGCTGCTTGAACAGAGCACTGCTCCCTTCACCCGCGCCTCAATACTGAACAGATTTAAAAAGCCTGAGCAAAAATAGGGAAAATCATCAAATCCATCCACCAGTTCCGGACACAGGATTTCAAAAGCGTCCTCGGCGGGAATCTTGCGAGATATCCCAGCTCTCACAGCACACAGGACGCAACGTCTTCCTCAGATTCGGGAATTCCCTCGATTCGGAACAGAGGCTGAAGAAAGTCACGTGATTCATCGGAGAACGGTCGCCCATCCATTGTCTAACCACCTCGCCCAATTCAGGGTAACGGGGGAGCCAATCCCATCCCAGCATGCAACGGGTGTGGGGCAGCGTACATCCTTAGTATACATCGAGCCCATCGAAGGGCACACATAGACAGTGGACACAGACACGTCCTCACTGACATGTAGAGCCACCTTTCCCACAGGCCACCAGTATCTTTATGGAGAGTGGGAAGAAACCAGAGCACCCAGAGGAAACCCATGCAAACAAGGGAAGAGCTTACAAGCTCCCCGCAGACAGCACCCCAGGTCTGGCACTGATCCCAGGGCCCCAGTGCTGCAAGGCAGCCAAGGCTCACCCCTGTGCCACTGTGCCAGCCTGCACAAAGAGCCTTCGGACTAATGACATTCACATGGTTTTGAACAGAGGCCCCAGTAACGTCGGACAGCTAGTCTGGAGCAGCAGAGAGAGAGAGGCTAAGTGCCTGAACTGTGGGGACAACACACTCCTGTCTGTACCTGGTCATCCACAGGAAGCTGGCAGACTGCAGAGATCAAGGCCATCCTGATCTGTCTCTGCAGCTCCCTCACAGCAGCAGGGCCCGGGCTCAGCCGGTTCAGGACGCGGGTCAGCACAACGACATAGTTTCGAGTCTCAACGATGTTCCCCATTTGCAGGAGGGCTGTAAGGTTTCTCAAACCATCGACGTAGCTAGAAAGCCACAAAAATCAAGCAACGACAGAACTGAATGATAATGCATCCTGAAAGAATATTTCTAATACATTTTCACCTCGGAGACCAAGTCATGACCATTCTAATAGACCCTATTGACAGCAGCATTTCTGTGTTGAAGCCTGATCGTGTCAGATCTTAGACGTTAAGCAGTGTTGGGCTTGATCAGTATTTAGGACCTCTATTGTGGTGCTGCTGGGCACGTATGGGACATACAGTAGATGCAAAGTCTCAAGTCCATGCCCCTGCTGTTTGACTTAGTCATTAAAGCTGCCAGCACTCTGTTTGTGAGAGTGGGGTGGCTAATGTACGTAACCTGATTAAATTCCACTCTGGGCTTCTCCAGTTTGAGCTCCGGAACTTTCCAATTTAATTCAACTGGTGAAGTACTTTCTCTGCGCCCCCAGCTGCTCTGTGCACGAACAGAGAACAGCCCAGTCTTGAAATGAAAGTTATTCAAATCGAAATGGTCCATGCTTCAAACACCACAGCAACAGGCTCTTAAATAAACTGCTGACACAGTTTCACAGTCCGGTAGTGAAATAATTGGTGGCTAGATCTGTGTCTTTCTTAAAGGCCTCCCATAAACTCTGACGCCTGTTATTAACTTAAGAGAAGAGGGACACACAATGGGTTCCTCTCAAAGTCGGTGAAGAGCTTTTCCACCACCGAAGAGGTGACAGAAACCACTCAGCACTCACAATACACAATATAAATCAACAACACGTCGTCTGGTAAACGGCAGTTTTCGCTGGGTGCCACACGTGGGCCACCAACCCCTGCAGCACATTTAATATTCTTGGATTGGACCCTCCGAAGGCTATCAGAGCCTGAAACCCGTTATGGTTACTTTTTCTTAATTAAAAATTCAATTTACTTTAAAAACATGAATCCTTACAGCTCTTGGTCAGGACTGTAGATGGATGACAGGTTTCTCCGGAAACTGGGCAGGACAGTCACATTCACTGCGCACAGCTTGGTTGCAGAACCAAACCTGTTGCGTATTTCGGTGTAAATAGTAACTGAAAAAAAATATGAGTTACTCTAAACATTAAACAATGAAGGAGCAGAGCAACAAAAGCTATATTGTCAATTTATCTGCTGTAAAACAAAGTCATTTCTGATTCTGTATACTTTATTTCATCTCAGATCTTTCTCCGTGTTGATTTAATATTTCAGTGATTTACTGTACAATGCAGACACTGACACAGTCCTAATCATAATCGTTATTAACAAACAGGTTAGCCTATTTTACGAACAAACTAAAACAATATACACTATATATATATATTCTTTTCTGGAAACATAAATAGTGCACCATAGAAGATTGTTTAAGTAGAAAACATGATTAATCAAATTTTTAAAGCTGAGAGATTGTAAACACTAAATCTAATATTCACTGTAGGATTCATGTCTGCTCAATGATACACCTTAAAACAACCTATGATTCAGAAGCCCGTCCAAATGACATTTAATTGCCAGAAAATCTCCTATTTATTTTACTGCTTTTCAAAGACTTGCACCTGTGACATTTCGGAGACGGAGCCGCCTCTCTTTGCCGTCTTCGAAGACGAATCGAAGAGAAGAAATAAAATGCTTTTTCGATGTTTTTGTTTTTTTTTGTTTCAGTACCTTTATAGTTATCAGCCGGGTCTCCGGAAGGAAGCTTGAAGTAATACTGAAAGTCCCATCCACGATAAAGGACCGTCCTCGGAGAGGGGCCAGTGGAGAAGCTGTACTCATATAGGAGGTCCTTTAACATTTATAACACCATGGAGAGAGCAGAAGACAAGGGGCGCTCATATCACAACTCTGACCACAACTCCACATTCACACCGGTTGTCCGATAAAAAGACACACCGAAGTAAACTCTTTCTAGATTCTAATTACGATCCCCATGAATTCAAATGTTTGAGTTTCGTAATGATCACGAGTCCACCCCTTGCAAGGGAAAAGGTTTCATTAGAAGAACCATCACAATGGTTACAAATGGGAAGAGGCTATTAAGCCTGTCTAGCCCATGTGGTAGTTAGCAGCTGTTTGATCTAAGGATCTCCAGCATCTCTTTGGCTTTAATACATTTGACAAGGTAACAATAACTATGTGTGTGGTGAGATCAGGCCTAGAACAGGACGTAGTGTCATCAGAAATCAAATGACAGATTATGATGTGTTTGTGTGTGATTCACACACTTCTTATCATTAATAAAACAACTGAAAACATGTCCAACATAATACAAAATCCTCCTTGTCATTGTTTTGTCTGTGTCAGTGAGGAGCACAGGAGCCTGACCTGAACAACCAAATCCATGTGCACTAATTTGGTTATAAAATACAGACAAATGAAGTGAGTCATGAGGTAACGCTGTGTTTCCAATCTGGCACTATCACTGCCTCAGTGTCACCAGAGACAGCAGTCAGATAAGAACATGGACACCAGGGAGGAAGCGGCACTGTCTCACACCCAGACTCCCACCTCTTTTCCTGAAGTGCAGAAAATGCTGAAGTCTGTGTGGACCTCATATCCCTTACTGGGCTGAACCTGGCAGGTCATACCATCAGGAACCTCATTAGTGGAGAAGAAGAACTGGGTTTTACCCAGGGAATTCTCCTTAGAAGCTGTGGAAGAACAAACACGTTAATTAACACGGCAGATTTCCTTCCTCCCACTTGCACAACAATCATGGGGCGACGAAACAGGACACTTTCAAAACTCCTGTCCGGTTTCAGAGCAGCATCCCGGTGAACAAGGAGCCGGACAGTCAGCTCACACAATCCAACACCGCAGTACTGGACAGTAAAAAGGTTAAAGACGTCTGGCTTACCCGCCGTCACCTCCAGCATGTAAAGACTCTTCGCCTTCAGCATGAAAGGTTTAAACGTTATCACAGGCGATGAAATCCCTGAAATAAACAGACCAGATATCCTTTAAAATACCTTTGCGAGGACGCTGAAAGAGGTACTGTTCTGGCGGTATTCTTAACACATACAGCACAATGCTAAAACAGTCCTTAAACAGCAGCAGAATCTTGTGATGAAGATTCCCTATCATCCAGTTAAATGGTGAAAGTGACTATAAAAAAACAGAAATAAGCTTCATCTATGAAACCAATCCGTCTTCTTCCTGTGCAGTTATATACCTTGGCAAAATGAAGAAATCCTTAAAAACTATTTTTTTGTGATTACAAGGTTCCAGTTTTGTCCTCGAACACGGATGAAACCGCTGGAGCGTGCTGGCAGAGTGGGCGCCCTGTCTGTGCGGAATGTGTCCTCACCAGTCAGCGTGAGGGTCCGGAGGGCTGTCTTGTCCACCAGCTGCCGGTCCAGGTCCAGCAGGGTTTGAATGGGGGGCTTAACGAGGGCGCTGTGGGGGGCCACCAGGTCGTTTCCTTCGGCTGGCTCAGGCCCCCAGGGCTCCTCTACGCTGATCCCAGACCCTGGAACAACGTGGAGATTATTCCGAGAGGATATCCACAGGGGAGCAAAATAAAAATGCTGCAGAAATCTGAACTGGACCATGCCAAGGTGCCTCGTGTGGCACATTTTCAAAAAATAAAACAGTGTCAGAAAACATCTGGATCTTTCAACATCATGATCAAGCACTGGCAATACATTCAGCTTCATAGGCCTCAGTCTTAAATCCTGAATCATGCCACGGAACATCAGTGTAGATATTTTAAAATTGTGCTCAGGATATGAATTTGCACATTGAGACAAGGAAACACATGGGGGTGAATCTGACTGAACACACAACGGACGTGTAGTGGGATCACGACACAGTCTGACTGCATCGCTCTGTAGACAGTACAACTTCCACTGTTCAACAAACTAACATAAAATAAAATATAATCACAGCATTCAATAAGTCATTAGTTCAAAGTATTTGTATACTTGCTTAATATAATAAAGAACACTTGTGTACAGGTGTGTAACCTGGGAATTTACAAATTTGCTGAGTGACACCTCGCCTATATTCATTAAAAATATTCTCAAGGGCTAGAATCTTGCTGGTTATTATTTTTAATTAACAATATGCTTTAAATGGTGCACACAACCCCCCTGTCGGGAAAATGTCCTACCTATAGGTCTTCCTTCATAGGTTCCTGAGTCTGCTTCTTCAATTTCATTGTAATATAATTCATAGTCTGGCAAAATATAGCACAAATATCACAATTACAGGAGGAAAAAAAAACAAACTAGCTTCTACTCTAAAGGTCTAAACAGGTGGGTAGGATATGATCAGCAGTCAAAACCATTATTTACATTCAAAAATTGTAAATTCAAAAGTGTAAGAGCCGAAATGGACAATACAGGATTTCATTATAATAATTATATTCCCCATCGTGGTAATACAAACGCATGTCTCAGAATGACTGATCTGAATTTTACTGGGAATTATTAAGGACCGTCTGAATATCTGCATGAATCTGAAACAACTGAAGGGAGGGAGTGGCCTCCAAATAACCCATCTGAAAAAATAAAACTCTGACGTTTTCTCGACTCAGCCCGTGTGAAAAGGGAGCTTTTACGTGTGTTTCCTCCTGTAGCCACAATATGTTCAATACTAAATTAGTGTGTGGGAATGGGTGAAGATAAAAAAAAGAAACAAAGAGTTTTCTGAGACAGAGCGTCATTTAGTTCTGCCTTCCAGTAGAGTTCAAGCTCTGCTTGTCTGAAGAGCTACCGCTCTCTGGCTGCTCTGCCTGCTATGCTGTCGCTAGGGGGCGCTCTGCAGCTCAGTGGGCACAAACACGGCTCTTCTCACTCATCAGAAATCAGGCTTTTGGGGTTTTTTGAGGGGGGTGGTGGGGATGGATTTCAGCGGGGGGTCGTGGTTAATTACTCAGTCAACGCATTTTTCCTAAAAAAAAAACAAACAGGAAACTGAAAAAGAAACCGAACAAATAAAACGGGGATAATTCCGGGCCGGTCCTACCGGTACCTGGAGCCGGGCCCGAGGGAGTGGGGCTGTTGGTCCGGCGCTCTGGACCTGTGGGCGCCGGTGACCTTTCGCGGCGAGGTCGGCCACCAGGGGGCTCCCCCTCCTCGGGGAAAGGGAAGGGGAAGGGCAGGGGGTCCGCAGGGAAGAAGGTGACTGGAGTCAGGGAGGGGCCGGAAGTGGACAACGGGCTTGTGGACAGAGTGTCCGCCGTGAGGGGTGCGGCGGGGTGTTTTGGGGAGACTGAGGCACCCGTGGGAGCAGAAGACACCGCAGGGGAGGTCCGAGAGGGAGGAGAGGAGCGAGAGACGGGGGGAGAGCTGGAAGGAGGAGGTGCGCTGGAGGAGGAGGAGGAGGAGGCCGGAGGGGTGTGTGCAGCCGACGGGGGCTCTTTGAGAAAGCCTGCAGGGACGCTGACGTCGAGAGTCTTGCAGAAAGGAACTGAGGAAGGAAATGGCAAAAAAAACAAGCTGAACTTTCAAAGAATATTTTTAGATCTTGTTCGGAACAGAACCCGCCCTTGGATGAAGATGAAGGAATCTGCTTCCAGATCCCTAAAATAAAAGCCCCGCCCCTCACACAGACATACACGTTCTTTCACCGTCTGTCTAAGGCTAAACCCGGCACATCCGTTACAGAAAAGTTCACACACGAAAAAGGATGGAGGCCCAGATAACCTCAGATCTGTTCTGCTCAGGGTACTGTGCTACACAGCAGGTATTAAAAATGCATCAAGAACGAAACTTTCTCGTGCCATGGGAATAAGCTATTGTGCAGCTTCACATAAGTCAATATACAGTCTTACAAAAAATCAATGGCTATTATGAAAAACAAGGTCAATCTATTTATTTAGTTTTCCTATTGAACATTTAAGCTCTAGCAAGCTTCTTCATAGAGCTGAATCTTATTTCTAAATCCCTCTTCCTGAAAACATAATCCTCTTTTTTAGGAACAATTAAAGGTTTAATCCATGCTGAAAAGAGAAGAAAAGAAACACAACGTTTCGGCTGTGGAGCCTTCTTCGGGTGGGTTTCTTTCTCCTGTTTTCAGCAGGAATAAACCCTTACTTGTTCCTTTGCAACCTACACATGCTGACGCACCTCCCTACTTGAACAACTTCATCCTCTTCTTTATCTGTACACTTTCTCTCTTTCGTGTCTCCCTCCCCCATTTGGTAACATTTCAACTTTGTCCATTCTGTATCTCTGAAAAGAAACTCTAAAGTAAAACAATTTTCTTACCTTCAAGAACGATCTTGCTAGATGCATTTACCAAATACAAATTCCAGGTAAATGTGACATTTTCACTCTCACCACAGTTTTCACAAAGAGCCTGAACAGAAAACTGCTCATTCCAATTAACAGTGCTGCCTCTGCACTTGGGGCAAGTCACTCTTATCTTTCTGAAAAGCATGTAAAGGGTATCGTTTCAACAGAAGCTCAGATCTCTAACATCTGCCAAAAGATGCTGCAAAGGTGTACAAATGCCAACACATTCTTACTTACTGTAAGTAATAGAAAACCTAGGACAGAAGTCTTTCTTTATTTAACTCTTCATCTGAACATGTAATATCATGATAAAGCAAGGGTTCGAGTTCTAGAGAAGAGACTGTCCTGTAAGACTGCTTACATTCACAGGAGCCTGGGAAAATGGCTAGGGAGAACTGCAAACTTCACAACGGTAAAAATCCGACACTAGTATCCATTTCGTAAAAAAAGTGTCAACGGGCTCGCTCCTGGCGCTGGGACTAACCTGGACAGACCCTCTTTGACCGTGACAAACATTTCAGCGGCCGAGCAGCGGTCTCCGCTCTGCGCCTTCAGCTCGAACCTGAACTGGTCGAAGGTGCGCTTGAGAACGCCAGCTGGAAACCGCACCACCGGCGAGGACAGAGGCACGGGGCTGTCGAAGCACGAGGACTTCACTCCACTGACCGGCTCGCAGTCCCAGCGGTACCTGCGACGTCAAGGACGGGCGTCACACCCTCAGCCGCGCTGCAGCCGCTGCTCGTTCCCTTGGCGGAAACACCCGCGGCGCGCGGCCCCGTAGCGGTCACTTCTAGCTAGTTACGCCCCTTTGCCTTTTGCTTTAGCCTCTTCAGACTTTCGGCTTGAAAACTACTGCAGGAGAGGCTTAAATTAATTTCATTAATGAAATTCGCAAACAAAACAGTCGTGATGCTTACTGATAGGTAGTGTTATCTAGACATATTTAAAATTTGTGCTCAGCGTACACCTACTGTACAAGAATGCAGAAAATTGATTCGTAAAATCACCTTCTGGTTAATGAGACCCCTCTGAAATGTAGCAGGCTTGTATTCACTGCAGCAGAGATTCTAATTAATCATGTTAAGAGACGGGGTGAGGAAGGTTCAGCTGGCAAATGTATTCATCTCTGCTGTCATGGACATTATAAACTGGAGATGCCCTGTGATTCCAATCCATTATTAATTAAAAGTAAAAGCAGCACGAGTCGCGTTGTCCACTAAGTCAATTCCTGCGATCCGCGAACGTCTGCTGTACCTCATGGGGTTGTGAGGGTAGTCGGGGTCATAGGATCCCCTTCCATCCAGTGTTAGCAGAGACTCGTTCTTGCTGCTGATGAAGATGTTGGTGCCCCCGATAATGATGCTAACGGGTGGGGTCGGAACTACCTCGATGCGCACAGAGTAGTTACTGTAAACTACACTGCCTTTGATCTGGACCTGAAACACAGAAGGAAAAGAGACCTGTCATTTCTATCACCTAATTCTTCAGCAAGGTGAAGAATTCAATGTTCCTCAGCAATACATGATACTGCTGCAAAGCTGTCTCCTTGGGTTGCTGTTATCTACAGGCTATGTGCAGAATTGTGAGGCTCTTACAAAAAAGAAGAATTTATTTTAACACACGGGAATAGTAGGAAAATAAGAAAAAAATGAGCTGCTTGTGTTGTAACCTATAAACCATTCTTGGCTACAAAGCTTGAAAGCTCTTTCTGAGAAATCACTTTCTGACTTACTGGGTTGGAATTCACTGCAGGACAAAAAAAATTGTTGTGATTAAAAATGGGATTAAAAATAAATTCATCACCACGAAACAGTTAATGCAAGATCTTAACATGTTTAAAAGTATAAGGAGCCAGTGTGATTTGATTCTAATTGATTCTGCAGTTCAAGAATTAAATTCCCATGTTTTTACTGATCTAAGCACCTAATTCTGCAGCAGGAGAGTTGGACCACTGCTCATTGTTAGCTTCAGTCCAAACAGATGTGCCCAACTGAAACCTCTCAAAGTCAACAATAATGGAAAACACAATACAACACCACCTAGCATACAAACTGATTCACGTGCCCCGAAGGATTAGGAGGATGAATGCAATCAAAATACTTTGATTTCAGATTGGGGTGACCGAAATAGCTCAGTGGATATTCTGCAACGTGTTCAGATCGAGAAACACAGCAGTCAGGAAAATGACCGAGAATTCCAGAGTCTTTCTTTTTTCCCCAAAACGAACGGCCTCAGACCTGTCAGCCCCGTGACTGGGTGGCGTCCCTTTGCTTACCCTGGCGACGGCGGTGTAGGTTCCGTAGTGCAGGGAATGTTTCGGGACTTTGATGACCTGCCGACTGCTCTCCACCGGAGGGAGCAGCACGGGCGCACCGCTGGCGTCGTACACGGCCCACCGGTAGAGCAGAGCCCGAGACTCGCCGCACTGCACATCGGCCTCAAACGTCACCCCCAGGCGCAGGGCCTCGTGTCGGCTGACCTGCACAACCGAGCGACGGGCAGCGTTTCCAGCGAGCGTCACGAAAGGCAGAGGGAGCCACGTTTCGCTCCGCTGTGCACACAACCTCAAAGCCCAGAGCTCCAGGCTCTCTCGGGCAGTCATCATCATCACCAGTAATTACTGCAGCTATTATTGAAGCTATCATGACGATATTAGAATCTACAGTCATCAGAAGCACTTATCACCATTTGGATTTGTTACAGGCGGCTAAACTCTGCTTCCTAGCTACAACCCCTGAGATGCACAAGGACCAGGAGGGTAGCTGGACAATTCTGCTGCATTCTATATTCATCTATTCCTCCGAAGGATCTGCATACGACAGCACGTCACCTTCACTTTGAAGGGGCCCATGTTTTTGACTGGAGGAGGCTGACAGGGCTCAGGAACGATGAAGATCTGTCTGGTCAGCGAGGCTGAGCTGACCAGGTTAAACATGGTCACTTCCACCGTGAACTCTCCCGTCCTGAAATCAGATGGAGACAGGCTGTCAGCGTCCCCTTTGCAATGGAACTGTCAGCCCACTCGCTGAAAAGATACTCATCGGAAGGGAGCAGGCCCTCCACCATGCATGTAACGCTGTTGTTTCCTCATTAAGGTCGGTGTTACACAAAAGTGAATTCTCTCCAGCGTCTGGGGTCTTCAGTGATTTCTCCTATCTTTCTCTACAGGGGAGGGCAAGTTCAGTAACTCGGAAATGATTTACCCCAGATTTGACTGGTTCATAAAGATTTCAAGACAACCTGGTACAGAAACAGACTGATATACGTTGTGTCACGCAGGCCACAGACTTTTACCCTACACTGTGCACAAATCAATGAAGCACAGAGACACTAGCTTGGGGCAGCATGAATTGAATATGCACAGCGCACAGGAGAGGGCATCTGTGTCCGAGCCAGGGGTCATGGAGATTCCCAATGCAATATGTTTAAGAGGCCACCTAAATCATTCATTTTGAAATTCTGGGAACATTTGCAAACTGGTAGTAAATTATTTGTTTGAAGCAGGCATCACCAATCCTGGTCCTGGAGGGCTGGTGTGTCTACAGGGTTTTGTAACGATCAGGGCTTGTGACGATCTGAATCAGCTTGTTAGTGGCTTCACTGGAGCAGCAGGTACTGCTGTTTCAAGGAGACCCAGAAACCTTGCGCCAGCCCTCCAGGGGACCCCTGATTGAAGAGAAGCCATGTCTTTGAAGGCTGAGGAGGTCTGTGCAGCAGGACCTGTGAGTTGCTTCATTTAATGAAACACCAGCACCTTCTGCACATCTTTACGATGTGGTGATTTAATGTAAAACCCCGCTGGACTGGGGGCTCTTCAGGGTCAGGTTTAGAGCCGCCTGCTCTAAGCATTCACTCATTTAGAAGTGTCAGAAAGGATGGCCATGGGCTCAAACGTCACATGTGGTATAGAGGAAGTGGCTTCCTTGTCTTGCGTACTATGTGCTGTAGGAGTCGTGGCAGATACACGTGCTCCCTGACTGGCGCATTTTCACCCACGCTCGACACCGCAGACAGAACTCTCCCACGACGAAAGAGCGATACCTGTTAAATACATGATATTCAGAGCTCCTTCCCGTTCTCCGGTTTCCATCTCCGAAGTCCCAGCGGTACGAGACGCTGGTCCCGGCGTTGATCCTGCAGTCAAAGCGGACGTTTGCGCTCGGGAGCGCGGAGGCGTCCGAGAAGAGGCGATTGGGCTGGACCGCTCTCTGGACGGTCAGGGGGTAGATGCCCGAGGCGAAGGAGAAGAGCTCGTTGGAAGCTTCGACAATGACGTTGTACCTAGAGAAGCAGCAATGCGCACAGTACATTAACACAACCCAGGGTGCGAACGTTACCCCCAAGACACCCTTAGTGATCACAGTAAAACATGAATGTCCTTATTGGAAAATGCAAATCAAGCATTTTGTTACAGAAGCACAAAATAGATTGCTCGACGTCAATTCCCTTTTGCAGAAAATTCAACATTTACAGTTGTTCAACCAACAGCATACAGACGAAATAAACAGGTATTTCAAGTGCTTTTCTGTTTTCCGATTCTTCAGGGACTCGGGAAAATACAAACGGCATAAAAACACTTACCAAGGCATTCCTGAAATATTTAATGACATGCGGTAAAATAAATAACACGATGGATGTGTAAATTCCTATTTGCTGATTTTTATATTTTTATGTCTTCTATGAGGGAGCATTTATTTAGTTTATTCCACAGTTTTTTAAAAACTTTATAAGGGGAACATGTACATCTCCAGGCCTCCAGCGTTTTTGAAAAGATCACCTGGCCTTCCACAGTCTGCTTCATGCGTCAGCACTCCTCTAGGTGTTTTGTGCCACAGCCTCATTGTGTTTGACCTCTCTGTGCTGTGTGGCTGTCGTATACAGCCTTCACAACGACAGAGCTGGCTTTTCCACCTGCTCCTCAAGCCTTACCGCCCGGGAGAAGGAAATCTCTTTGTTATCCTCCTGGAAACGGTTCTTTCGGGGGACTTGTCTCCGAAGTGCCAGAGGAACTCCAGGGGACCGGGCTCCTCTGTCACAGCGACAAAGACCACCTCGCTGTCGGTGGCATACGCTGACTTATCCGTGCGGATCTCCACCGCTGGCGCGGGAAAGAGGGGGACACATCATCGTAAGAGAGATTCGAACAGGAGCAACACAGCCGATACAGTGAGAGGGATGTAAGGCTGTTTCCACTTCAGGTGAAACCACTTGAGACGGTTTGTTTCTCCAAGTAGGAGAGATTTTATGATACCTAATAAGCAATGATACTAAGATTGGCAGTGGCAAAACATCCCTAAAACACTTAGTTATTGAATGTAGTCATAAAGTATCCGTTGAAAGAAGCAAAGGTGATAACAACCAATCCTTTCTGCAGATGGATTGGTTGTTTGTAACAAATATTTGTAATGGCCACTGAATACCCGAATCGAAAGCTTGGTTTTGCAGTGAAGCGAAGTGAAATAGCTGTGTGCTATAATGTGCGCACCCCAGACACAGAAACACAAGGGAGCTCAGAACAGGACATTCAGATGCAGAACTCACACGGCATTCTGTGGAGCACAGAGACTCCTGTGCTGGCCGTCACACTCCCCACATGGTTGTGGGCTTTCACTGTGACAGTGAAGCTCGCTGCAGTCAGGAACTGGTGGGATACAACGGGTTCTGGACAAAAACACAGGGATCCCAGTGCTGTTACTTTAGACACACAATACCCTTCAGAACATGTGTTTGTCATCACAGCAACACAACCAAGTTCCCTTCTCCTTCTCCCTTTTTGACTTCCTTTCATGTGACCCAAACACAAACAATATACAGACCCAAATAAGTGCGCAAATCACTTAATTCACAATGACAAATGGCACACGTGTCTGATTTTAATACCCCCCACCCCGCCGGACAAAACTCAACCTGCTTGTAAGAACTGTCCCAGTTTGAATCTATTTGCCATTTAGTCACTGAGGTTGACTCTTGGGTGGCCTCTAGTGGCCTTTTTATTGCAATTACAGGCTATCTGAGCGAAGTGCCAATTACAGTATATGAGCTAATACCTACATCCACACACACACATCAGGGGACAGTTCTGTTTTTTCCCCCACGCGAGACACATGATTACCTTTATTAATATAGGATGTTTGATCCCCCACGTCCCAGGTGAATGTCACATTAGTGCCCCGTGAAGTCAAATAAAAGGCATACACAGTACAAAATAGAAAGCTGGTTATATACTGCAGAAATCTGTTTATACATAATGCAGTTTCAAATGACATCCCTTGTCCTAAGTGAGTATTTAAAGATGTTGGGCGAAGCAGAAATCTGTTTTTTAATATAATCAAGACTGTGTGGGACCAGGGAATGCACATAATCATCTTGAATCTAATTGGGATCATTTTATCATGTTATCCCTTTTCTGCTGGTCTGTCAAGAATATTGGCTGAACCACCTCAGATATGGCTATATTTCTAAACCTATCCCTTGCGGAGCCTTTCTGATAACCCTCTGCATGTGAATTTCCGTTTAAAATATTTAACACTTTGCAAACTCTGGAATGAACGACAGTCACAGCCTGGGGTTTGTGAATGATCTGTTTTGAAGCCAGAAA